TTGGGTAAGTACCTAGGGGTGTGATTGCTAGATTGTATGGTTAAGACAACATTTAGCTTTGTATCAATAGAAACTGTTAAACTGTCTTCCAAAGTGGCTGAACCATTTTGCATCCCCATCAGCAGTGAATGAAAGTTCCTGTTGCTGTATACCCTCATCAGCATTTGGTGGTGTCAGTTTTTTTGGATTTTAGACATTCTAAGAGTTGTACAGTGGTATCTCATTGTTTTAATTTGCAATTCCCTAATGACAATGTTGAGCATTTTTTCATGTGCTCATTTGTCACCTGCATATATTCTTTCATGATGTCTCTTTTCAGATCATTTTCGATTAAAGAATTTGGTTCTGGGGCTTCCCTCGTGGCGCAGTGGTTGAGAGTCCGCCTGCCGATGCAGGGGACACGGGTTTGTGCCCCGGTTTGGGAAGATCCCACATGTCGCGGAGCGGCTGGGCCCGTGAGCCATGGCCGCTGAGCCTGCGCGTCTGTAGCCTGTACTCCGCAACGGGAGAGGCCACAACAGTGAGAGGCCCGCGTACCGCAAAAAACCAAAAAAAAAAAAAAAAAAAAAAAAAAAAGAATTTGGTTCTTTTGCGTTTTAAGAGTTCTTTGTATATTTTGGATAAAAGTCTTTCATCAGATATGTATTTTACAAATATTTTCTCCTTGTCTGTGGTTTCATTCTCCCAGCATTATCTTTCACAGAGCAGAAGTTTTTAATTTTAATAAAGTCCTATTTAATTTTTTCTTTCATGGATTATGCATTTAGTGGTATATCTAAAGACTAATTGTCAAACCCAAGGTTATATTTCTTCCTTTTTAAATTGGAATATTTTCTTCACTCTTGTAACAATCCAAGAAAAATTTCTTACATCCACCTCATTTCTTTCTTTTTAAAAGAAATTAATTAATTAATTTTTGGCTATGTTGAGTCTTCGTTGCCACGCGTGGGCTTTCTCTAGTTGGGGCGAGTGGGGGCTACTCTTGCGGTGCGCGGGCTTCTCATTGCAGTGGCTTCTCTTGTTGCAAAGCATGGGCTCTAGAGCGCAGGTCAGTAGTTGTGGCACGTGGGTTCAGTAGTTATGGCACGTGGGCTCAGTAGTTGTGGCTCACGGGCTCTAGAGCACAGGCTCAGTAGTCATGGCTCACGGGCTTAGTTGCTCTGTGGCATGTGGCATCTTCCTGGACCGGGGCACGAACCCATGTCCCCTGCATTAGCAGGCAGATTCTTAACCACTGCGCCACCAGGGAAGTCCCTACCTCATTTCTAAGAAAGACTTGATGGCACAAATCTTTCTGAAATACTCAATGCAAATATCTTTTTTTTTTTTTTTCTGTACGTGGGCCTCTCACTGTTGTGGCCTCTCCCGTTGTGGAGCACAGGCTCCGGACGCGCAGCCTCAGCGGCCATGGCTCACGGAACCAGCCGCTCCGCGGCATGTGGGATCTTCCCGGACCGGGGCACGAACCCGTGTCCCCTGCATCGGCACGCAGACTCCCAACCACTGTGCCACCAGGGAAGCCTGCAAATAGCATTTTTATTAAAATCTGCTTGCTCTCCCAAGTACTTCTTTTGTTGTTTCCTCATTTTTGTTTCATATTTCAATCTGGGTTTGAATTTTCCTTCACCAGTTTATGCTTGGCTGAGTTTTCTACTGCTTTCCAGTTACCTGATTATTTCCTGTCTCCTTTCTGGTGTTCCTATTTTTGCTATTTCTTTATGACCAGAATAGTTTATAATAGCAATGAGTATACTTTGCTTCTGTTCTTTAGGCCTAAATATATATCTTATATTCTATATGTTTTTATTCTTAGAAAACAGGGATCATGCATTAAGAAAAAAACCTTGGGTGCCCTATCATGGCCTATGATTTCTTGTTAAGTGTACAATCTACAAAATTATTTGGTGGAATAATTTCTTATTGTGGAACTTATGCTAGAGTTGTTTTTAACTTTTTTGTTGTGCTCATTAAGTTTAATTGATTTCTTTAGTAGAGGGTTGTTTAGGGAGTGTTAATTTTAAACAAGTACTTTTAAAGCTACTGGAGGACTTAGTGTCAAGAATCGGTGCTTAAACTGTGGTATTTTTAAGTGGGTTAATATGTGTGTGAGGCTATATTAGCATTTTGTTGTTCATGGTGTTAGAATTGCTAAATATGTTGTACATGTATGTATCAGACTTAAATTGTAAGGTCATTAATTATGGATACAGTTATCCCAGTCCTCTTAAGACTTTGTTTACTTGTTTACTTTTTGATGTACCTGGTAAGGATCTCATGCTGTGAGATGTAGTTGATTAAAGCAGATGTCTTGGGGGAGGAAGATAACATTTGCTGGCTGTGTAATTTGTGCTAGGAAAGAAAATGAGAAAAATTGGTAGACAGAAAGGAGGAGGCCATTCGATTTTAAAATAGCCTGGTAGAAATGAATCTGACTTTGGTGGGGGGTGGGGAAGAAGTAAAAGTTGTAAAAAGTTGTGTGTCTGTTCTTGTTGAAACTTGAGGAAGAGGACCACTGGTAAGAGGCTTTTCACGCCTCAAAGAAAAGCAGTGGTTGTTACCGAATAGTAGATGTGCAAAAACTCTATCCTGGTGGTTGGGTACTTAGTAGTTGTGTGTGTGTGATGAAAAAGGGTGGAGGAGTGTGGTGATAAGTATAGAATATATTTCAATTGGAGGAGTGTTTTGCTCAGAGGGCGTTGTAGTTGAACAAGATTCTAATCGAAATACTTGAGAGGTTAAGATAGCAGGATAAACAGTGCTCAACCTAATCTAAAGAGAAGAATACACAGTGGGGGGAGGGATAAATTAGGAGTTTGGGATTAACATACACAGGCTAGTCTGTATAAAATAGAAAATCAAGGGACTTCTTTGGTGGCGCACTGGTTAGGAATCTGCCTGCCAATGCAGGGGACACGGGTTCAAGCCCTGGTCTGGAAAGATCCCACATGCCGTGGAGCAACTAAGCTTGTGTGCCACAACTACTGAGCCCGCACTCTAGAGCCCGTGAGCCACAATTGCTGAGCCCGCGTGCTACAACTACTGAGCCCGTGCGCCTAGAGCCCGTGCTCCGCAGCAAGAGAAGAAGCTACCACAGTGAGAAACCTGCACACTGCAACAAAGAGTAGCACCCACTCACCCCAACTAGAGAAAGCCCGTGCACAGCAATGGAAGACCCAACACAGCCAAAAAATAAATAAAATAAAATAAAAATTAAAAATAAAAGAGATGATCACTCTTAATAAAAAAAAGATAATCAACAAGGACCTATTGTATAGTACAGGGAACTATACTCAATATTATGTAATAACCTATAAGGGAAAAGAATCTGAAAAAGAATGTATATATAACTGAAGTGCTGTGCTGTATACCTGAAACTTACATGATATTGTAAAACAAGTATACTTCAATAAAAAACTTAAAAAAAAAAAAGAATCCACAGTTTGGGGAATAGACGAAGAAACAAACCAAAATTAAAACCACAAACATTTGTTTTAATACTGCTTATGTTTTTAAATAAAAATAGGCAGCAGATGTTATTCACATATATGCAGATAAATTTCCCTTAGATCCAAGTTTTTAGAGCTACCCCACAATTATTTTAATTTTATTTGAATCTGTAGTTTGTAATAGGGCTTTTCTCTTCATATTTATTTTATCTAACTTTTCCTAGACCTTGGATTGTGATACATAATTCCTGCTACGTGACTTTCTAGAAGTTTATTATTTCAGTTGTCTCGGGCTTCCCAGTTCGTTTCCCACCCCCATCCCCGTATTAACTAGAAACCTGTTCTCAGGTCCTGTTACCCCTGTGCTCACTCTTGCTCATGTCATCTGCCTTGTATCAACTACCTGTTCTATCTGGATGTCTTTTGACTGCTTCTCTGTCTTTCTTGTCCTCCCACTTCTCATTTCCTTTACAGTACTGAGAACTTTAGTTTGGGTGTCCCATGTTGAGCGTGGTGAAACTGACTTCCCGTTTTCCCTGGTTCCTCTTGCTCCATACCTCTGCGGTCGGTGGGGAAGGTGTGGTCGTAAAGCCTGGCAGTGAGAGGCCCGGGGCGTGGACGCCGCTAACCTGTGCTGCGCTCCACCCCACGGCCCCTCCCCTGCTACCAGGAAACCATGCAGTTTACTCCTTACTCTTCATACTTCCCTTTGCTCCATGCCCGCGGATCAGTGTCTGAGCAGTTCTGGTACACCTGAGCTCCTGTAGCCTTCTGTGTATTCCCTGACTTGTTTCAGTATCTTCAGAGATGTTTCGTAAGTTATTTTATTACTTCCTGGAAAGTAAAAGAAAAAAACATCACCTGAGGATAAGTATTTCAATGTGGAATTTTGAAAAGTTGTAGTGAAAACTTTTTATGTAGGTAAAAGGATTAAGGTTCATAGTGACTAATGCTGTGGTAATGCGTGAAAATAAAGGCTGATTGCTTTGAAGCTTAAAATTTCTGTTTACTGTGTGGGGAAAGACCAGGCAGATTAGGCAGGGTCGGGGTGGGCGGGGGGAGATTTTGGATATGGTTAAGTTTCAGGTACCTGTTAGGACACTGAGTGGATTCAGTTGTTGTGTGTTAGCAGTCGCCTTTAATCTAGAAGAATCTCTCTCTCTCTTTCATTTTTCATGAAATTGAGTTTTTGAAGAGTTCAGGTGTGTTTCTCATAGAATGTCTCACATTCTGGGTTTGTTTTTTACTAACGATTTTACAAAAGTTGTTACTCGTGTTCTTAGAAGTTTGAAAAGATATTTCTGTCAGGATAAAAACAGGGCGAAAATGAAGTTGAAACGAAGTGGAAATGAAGTAGGAGGGGCAGTGGTAAAGTGTGCTTTGTTTGGAGGGCGGTGCTGGATGCAGTCGTGATATGTAAAATTGTACTGTGTGCCTTATAGCTGTTGTAAAAAAGTTATGCTTCTAAAACCGTGAGCAACATTGCATTCTTAGCCTTCTTTAAGTAATCCCAGTTAAAGTTAATGAACTTTATTATTATTTTTTTTTCTATAGGTTTAAATGTAAGACTGGCTGTTTAGTTCTCCTTCTAAGGTAAGTTTTTTATTTTTATTATTTTTTTTGAAACAACATTACTATGTTAAATTTATTATTCAAGTAGTTTGTCTAGAAAGTAAATTTTAGTTGCTGAAATTGTATGTCTAACTAGTTATCACCTGGGCTTTGTCTGTTTCAGAGGATGTTGTCCCCAGGGGCGTGGTGGTTACTGCACATATAGTGTAAATAGTTTCGTGCCCGGTACTTAGGTGCGGAGGAAAATTGGGAGGCTACGCGACCTTGTAGGCACATTTCTGGTACATCTCACTAGTCAGAGTTACTCTGGTTTGCCTGAGGATCCTGGAGTGCTGGGTTGAGTGTGTTTTCCTAGGGCTGCTGTAACAAAGTGCTACCAGCTGGGTGACCTAAAAACTACAGAAACTTACTCTCTCACTGTTCTGGAGCCAGAGGTCCTCTGTGCTGCCTCTGAAGGCTCTAGGGGAGAATCCTTCCTTTTGCCCATTCCAGTTTCTGGCGGTTGCTGGCATTCCTTGACTTGTAGCTGCTTCACTCCCCATTTCTGCCTCTGTCTGCACGTGGTCTTATTCCCTCCGTGTCTCCTCTCCTTGTCTCCAAGGATTTGGGGCCCACCCTAATCAATGTGAACTCATCTCAAATTGATTGCATCTGCCAAGACCCTAGTTCCAAGTACGGTCACATTCACAGGTCCTGTGTTAGGACTTAGACATACCTTTTTGGGGAACACAATTCATCCCACAGTAGTTGGGGCTCGACTTGAATTGTAGCAAAATCGAGATGCTGTGATCTTTCTGAAGCTTGAATGCTATGTTTTATGAGGTACTAAAATATTTGGAATTGTAAAAGTGAATCCTAGGTTTCTCAAGCCATTTTAGGGATATTTCTAGTAGACTTTTCATGGTGTGTGTGTGTGTGTGTGTGTGTGTGTGTGTGTAAAATTTACAAATAAAAAGACTGGTTATTTGCTGGGATTTGTGGGATTCAGCTTAACGAGGATGTGGTCATCCTGGGGTGGATGTAAGAGGAAACAAAAGTAAACTAGCAGACTCTTTTCTCTGTTTGTGTGTATTTTGCCTAAAAATAACAATGCTGCTTTTTAATCAGTTTATATTAGAAAATGAAACATATATTTGGATAACTTTTTTTTAAGCTCACTAATGCACTTGATCATTTTAGAAAATAAAGAATACAGGGTCAGTGAATGAAATTCAGGGTCATTGAAATTCAGCCTCAGCTTCCAAGAGGGTTTTTGATAAGGCATACAGTGAACCTAGAGCAATGCCTGGCCTTGGTAAGTGCCTAATATGTATTAGTTATTGTTAGTGAGCCTTTCTAAGAAAGTGAAGGAGGTTTGAGGTAGTCATGAAAGGAAGGAAAGTTCTTCTCACCTCTTATTTTTGATAGTCGTACGTCTGGTTGGTTAGCGTATTTACCATTCCAGTCATTGGTTCAGTTTTGGTCATAAACGACTGAAAAATGTAGATTACAGTTAGAATGAGAGCGTTTGTAATGCAGGACCATACATACAATATTAGACCCGTGTTTAATTTCTGGGTTTGAGATTTGAAGGTAATGTTCTTTATTCTATGATGCTTGTGAATGAATATTAAAAATCCAGACTGTGTTAACTTTTTTCTTCATTCTCTTCCTTCATTTAAATAAAAATAGCCGTATCGATCCAACAAGCCACAGAGCCATAATGTGGCAAAGCATCCTTTTTGAGAGGTGAATATTACGGAATGAAAATGGCTGACAGAGGTGGGAAGATTGTTCCAGGGCAGGTGTATATTGAAGTGGAATATGATTACGAATACGAAGCGAAGGACAGAAAGGTCGTGATAAAACAAGGGGAACGATATATCCTGGTGAAGAAGACCAACGATGACTGGTGGCAGGTGAAGCTGGATGAGAACTCCAAAGCGTTTTATGTGCCTGCCCAGTATGTGAGGGAGGTCGGCCGCAGAGCCCTGATGCCGCCTGTGAAACAGGCAGCGGGGCTGCCGAATCATTCTGTGAAAACGATGCAGAGTCTCCACCTTCAGAGGTCAACAGAAAATGTGAACAAATTGCCCGAGCTTTCAAGTTTTGGAAAGCCATCGCCGTCTGTTCAAGGAACAGGTCTTATTCGTGATGCCAATCAGAATTTTGGACCCAGTTATATTCCAGGTCAGACTGTCAACCTCAGCCTGGACCTGACCCATAATAATGGAAAGTTCAACAGTGACTCACATTCTCCCAAAGTTTCTGGCCAGAATAGGACACGGTTATTTGGTCACTTTCCTGGTCCGGAGTTCTTGGACGTAGAGAAAGCTGGCTTCTCCCAGGAACAGTCTTGTGATTCAGCAGGAGAAGGCTCGGAACGGATTCATCACGATTCAGAGTCCGGTGATGAGCTTAGCAGCAGCTCCACTGAGCAGATAAGGGTAAGACTGAAAGTGGATGATGGAACACTTGTGCCACCTTCATAACCGTTTAATTATAGGTGTTACTATTTAAAAATTTTTTTTTTTTGCGGTACGCGGGCCTCTCACTGTTGTGTCCTGTCCCGTTGCGGCATGTGGGATCTTCCCGGACCAGGGCACGAACCCGTGTCCCCTGCATCGGCAGGTGGACTCTGAACCACTGCGCCACCAGGGAAGCCCCTTTGTGTCAGTCTGTCAAGTAAAGTGAAGTAATTTTAAAAGCACATGCGTGAAACTGAAACTTGAATGTGTTTAGTAAAGTTTAATAGTGAATTTGATAAATTTTGGGCCTAAAGCTCTGTTGTAAGTTTTATTCATCAAATTAAGCCAGTGAGGCTGCTCTTAAGGTGTGTCTGATTGTAATGGAACTAGTATGTTCTTTTTCTTTTATAGGTTTTAATTTTTCTTGTGACATTTTGAATGGAGATAGGAAAAAGGGAAGGTTCTCTAGAAAAACTTCTGATGCTTGAGATCAAGGCTGTTACTGTCAGTTTATCATCATTCGTCTTAGTCTTTTCTTCAGTCCTTACGTGATACTTTGTTGTAGAATATTTTTTTTGTGTGTCCTGGAATTTTTCTGCATGTGGCTCCTTATGTATTAGTTGGACTTGGGAAAGACATGTGTTTTCTCTTCCATCTGGCCATCACCACTGTTTCACACCTGAAATGACGCTTTATGTGTAGGTCCACTAGCAGCCCTGTGTTCTCTTCATCGTGCTCATCTTAAATTCACTACGTGGCAGGTCATGGCTCCTGACCTCTCCTGGACTGTTTGGAAATCCTGTTCGATCTCTCTAGCCAGACCTCGTCCTGGCTCCTCGTGGCAGCTGTTTCAGACCTTTTCCATTTCATTCAGTTCTCCGATTCCCCTGCTCTTCCCTGCTGTCTCAGCAGGTAGTTTTGCCTCCTGTTTCACGGCAGAAGTGAAAACTGGGGGGTGGGAACTGCTTCTGCTTGGGGAGGATGTATGCACAGCAGTTAATCGAGCTGTCCTTAGATTTGAATCTGGGTCCATATCACTTGCCGGCTGAGTGATAATTGGGGCCAGTTACCTAGCTTCTGTGTGTCTCAGTTTCCTCCTCTTGACATGGGGCTCACGAGTGGGTTCCTGTATACCTAGCATGCCTGCCACTCAAGCAAGTAGGGTAGGTATCTACTGCTGCTTAATAAATGACTCCCGGATCTCCTGGCTTAAAACAGTAAACATTTATTATGTCACAGTTTCTGTGGCTCAGTCATTCAGAAGCAGCTTAGTTGGTGGTTTTAAAGGCTTTAGGGTCTCTCACGGGGTTGGCGTCTTACGAAGTCTTGGCCGGGCCGGAGCAGCTGCCTCTAGGATGGTCACTCACGTGGTACTGTTTGGGCCTCTTTGCAGATGCTTCAGTGTTGTGACTAGCTTTCCCCTAGACAGAGCCATCCAAGAGGGAAGAGGGTGGAAGCTGCATTGTCTTTTATGCCCCGATGTTGGAAGTTGCGCCCTGTCATGTCTTAGCAATCACACAGCTCAGCCCTGCTCTGTGTGGAGGTTACAGCACAGAGTGTGAATGTCAGGCTACGGGACATTAAGGGTCACCTCGGGGCTGGCTATCGCAGTACGCATTCGGCACCACAGAGCTGTCATTACGGTTGTCGTCGTGGTTTCTGTTACAGTTATTCCCACCATGAAACCTACAGGTGCACCAGTGTCATCAGTGATCTCCCCCCAGTACAGGCAGTGCAGGTGTGGCATCTTCTGTCAATGAGTGGTCTCTTCATATTTGCTTTTCCCTCTTTTTCACAAACCTTTTGCTAAACATTGTGTAGCGTTGTGCTCGTATGGCTTTAGACTCATTATTTACCAAGTTTTTTCCTTCAGGATGTACATTTGCTCATGTTTTCCTATTTTAGTAAAGCTCTTCAGCAATACCTTCCCTTCCGAGTATCACCTTATCACTCTTTACTGGCAACTTCTGGAAAGAGTTGCACGTATTTGCTTCTTTGTGTTCGCTCATTTCCTGCTCATTCCTTAACCTGGTCTCATATGGCTTCACCACCCCACCTAAACAGCTTCTGCTAAAAGCTGCCCACGGTTTCATTGTTGATAAATGTACAGACAGTTAAAAAAAATTTTATATATAATCATATCATAGTTACAGTGAACAAGATTAATAACCAAAAGGCAACTTAAAATAATTTTTCACTGAGGCATAGCATATAATCACGTGTGTAAATTGTACTAATCTTAAATGTACGGCCTGATGGATTTGTGCTTATGTAAAGCCATGAGCCCCTTCCTAGTCAGTATCTACACCCTCCCCGCTGTGTCTCTGCTAGGAGATTTTCATTCTTCTGACATGTTAGTACTGATCAGTCTTCTTTAACTGAACTTCCATTTTGAGATGATTGTAGCTCCGTAAGCAGTGGTAGGAAACCATAGTGAGGGGTCCCCTGTGCCCTCTGTCCATTTACCTCTGTTGTAACGTCTTGCCAGACTGGACTGTAGTATCACAGTCAGGGTGTTGATGTTGGTACAGGCGAGATGCTGGGCGTTTCCATCAACACGAGGACCCCTTATGTTGCCCTCTTAATGGCCACACCCGCTCCCCTCCCACCCCCAATGCGGCTTAACCGCTCGCCACCACTAATCTGTTCTCCATTTTTATAATATTGTCATTTCAGGAATGTTATATAAATGGACTCACAGCCTATGTAGCTTTTTGGGATTGGCTTTTTAAAAAAAAAATTATTTATTTGGTTGCGTCAGGTCTCAGTTACGGCACGCGGGATCTTTGTTGCAGTGTGCGGGCTCTTCTTTGCGGCACGTGGGCTTCTCTCTAGTTGTGGCTCACAAGCTCAGTAGTTGAGATGTGTGGGCTCTCTAGGTGTGGCACGTGGGCTTATTAGTTGTGGCGTGTGGGCTTAGTCGCCCTGCAGCATGTGGGATCTTAGTTCCCCAGCCAGGGATTGAACCTGTGTTCCCTGCGTTGGAAGGTGGATTCTTAACCACTGGACCACTATGGAAGTCCCCGGGATTGCCTTTTATCATTCCACATAATTCTCTGGAGATTGATCCAGGTTGTTGTGTGTATCAGGGTTTGTTCTTTTTGTTGCTAGCTAGTATTCTATGGTATGGATGTACCGTACTTAAAAATAATTCACCCATTGAAGAATGTCTGAGTTTCCAGTTTTTGGCTTTTGCAAACAAAGCTGCTACGTATAAATGTTTGTGCACAGGTTTTTGTGTGAACGCACCTTTTTTATTTCTTTGGTATAAATGCCCGTGTGTATAATTGCGGTTTAACTTTTCAAGAAAATTAAGCAGCAGTTATATGGCAGTTGCACGTTTAATTTTTCAGGAAACGGCCAAGCTGTTTCCTGGAGCGGCTGCACATTTTACATCTGTGTCAGCAATGCTTGTGGTCCAGGTCCTCTGCATGCTCACCCACATTTGCTGTTGTCTCTTTTTTATTTTAGCCATTCTGATAGGTGTGTAGGGATTGCGCCTGATTTTAATTTCCATTTCCCGAATGGCTAATGATGTTGAACACCTTTTATGTGCTTATTTGCCATCAATAGGTCCTTCTCATTGAAATGTCTCTTCAAGGCTTTTGCCCATTTTTAATTAGACTTTTGTACTGTTGAGTTTGGAGAGTTTTAAAATTTTTTAATTTTTTACTTTTTATTTTATTTTTTAAATCTTTATTGGAGTGTAATTGCAATTTACAATGGTGTGTTAGTTTCTGCTGTACAACAAAGCGAATCAGCTATATGTATACATATATCCCCATACCCCCTCCCTCTTGAGCCTCCCTCCCACCCTCCCTATCCCACCCCTCTAGGTCATCACAAAGCATCAAGCTGATTAGAGAGTCTTTTTTTAGTATAGTCTAGATACTAGTCATTTGTCAGATATATAATTTGCAAATATTTTCTCCCAATGTCTTTTTGTACTCTTAACAGTGTCTTTTGCAGAGCAAAGGTTTTTAATTTTGATAAAGTCCAATTTATTAATTTTCCCTTTTATGGATCAGGCTTTTGTGTCAAATCTTAAGAACTCGCTATATAGCTCTATTAGTCAGGGTTCTCCAGGGAAACAAGCAATAAGGTGTGTGTGTGTGTGTGTGTGTGTGTGTGTGTGTTTGTGTATGTGTATGGAGAGAGATTTATTTTAAGGAATTGGCTTATGTGATTATACAAGTTGGCAAGTCCAACACCTGCAGGGTGGGATGGTAGGCCGGAGACCCAGGGGAGAGCCAGTGTTGAAGTTCAGATCCGAAGTTTGTCTGCTGGCAGAATTTATTCTTGCACGGGAGGTCAGTCTTCCGTTGTCTGAGAGCCTTCAACTGACTGGATGAGACCACCCACTCTATTGGGGGCAGGGGGCAACCTGATTTATTCAAAGTCCACCAATTTAAATGTTAATTGCATCTAAAACACCCTCACAGAAACATCTAGAATAATGCTTCACCAAATATCTGGCCCAGCTGAGTTGACACACAAAATTAACCATCACAGTAGGTTTAGATTCTAAATATTTGCCTCAAGTTTTTTTTCCCCCTAAAAGTTTATAGTTTTACATTTGAATCTGTGATCCATTTTTAAAAAAAAATCAATTTATTTATTTTTAGCTGTGTTGGGTCTTTGGTTTTGTGCACGGGCTTTCTCTAGTTGAGGTGAGCGGGGGCTACTCCTTGCTGCGGCACACAGGCTTCTCATAGCGATGGCTTCTCTTGTTGTGGCGCATGGGCTCTAGGCACGCGGGCTTCGGTAGTTGTGGTGCACAGGCTTCAGTAGTTGTGGCACGTGGGCTCAGTAGTTGTGGCGCACGGGCTTAGTTGCTCCGCGGCATGTGGGATCTTCCCGGACCAGGGCATGAACCCGTGTCCCCTGCATTGGCAGGCAGATTTTTAACCACTGCTCCACCAGGGAAGTCCCTGTGATCCATTTTGAGTTTAGTTTTTGTATGAGGTTAAATCAGGGTT